ACCCCATGGTCATTTTCTCCTTTATAGATAGTCTCCCACACAACTTTCAATCTACTGAAATGACAGGTGCAACCACTGATCAGCACACCCTTTCAATCTCTTAACCCTATAGAACACATACTCTCTCTCACTACAAATAGATATATCACACACTAAAACCATATACTTCTATTTAAAAATAAATAAATAAATAGTTAAATAAATAAATTTCTCACAATTTCTGTTTCATTTTCAACTACACACCTCATACCACTAACATGAATCCTAATATACTGTTATTCTTAATAACCCTTTTCTCAATCCAATTTTGTTCACACCACTACCAGCATAAGCACGCACCTCAAACTGGAACACAAATTATAATACACCATGGCCTGCTCTGTTCCTTTAACTTATCTGCTGAGTGCTGGTGGAGAGTTATAAAAAATAGCCCTCCTACCCCCAACTCACAAAATTATAAATTATCCCATTCACTATATGGCCAAACAAAGATGATGTCCAAATTCCTACTCCTTATGTTACTTGCCCTTGCAAATGATGTGGAGTCTAACCCTGGTCCCCCAGCTAATGCTAGTCCTAATCTCCCCACTAAAAAAGGCCTCTCTTTTGTGCACTGCAACATCCGTAGTTTACTCCCTAAACTGGATGCACTGCAAGCCTGGTGTTCCCATTACAAACCAAAAGTCATTGTGCTCTCAGAATCATGGTTAACGGCTAAAATACCAGACACCGCCATTGCAATACAGGGTTATTCATGTTTTAGAAATGACAGAGCAAAGAGGAGGAGGCATTGTTATTTATGTTGACAATTCCATAAAGTTTACCCCTTTACAAAACCTTAGTCCTCCTGCCATCTTTGATTTCCTTTCTGTCAAAATTGAGATCCCGTGCAGTAAATCAATCATTGTTGCAGGAATCTACCGCCCACCTAGCTCCCCTGTGCATTCCCTATCTGACATAGCCCATCTCCTTAGTGAAACCATAGCTCAAAACCCAAAAAGTGAACTGTTGGTCTTTGGAGATTTTAATATTGATTGGCTGAACCCTAAAAATAATAGTTCTTGCACGCTGTTTAAGACTTTGCAGCTAACGCAATTAATCTCCTCCCCAACTCGCATAAACATAAAAAGCCATAACCATACCCTGCTAGATTGGATTCTCTCCACTTCTCCTGATAGAATCCAGGAGGCTGGTGTTCTCCCAAACACGTTCAGTGATCACTGTTTAGTGTACTGCGTGCGCAAAATAAAGGCTATTAAATCCTCTCCCAAGGTTAAAATAACTAGGTCCTTCAAAAGATTTAATCTTGAATCCTTTTTAAATGACATCAAGAATCTCCCATGGCACAGATTAAACATTATCCCAGATCTAGACTGTGCTGTTGAATACTTTCAGTCTGAACTCCTACAAATTTGGAATTTGCATGCCCCGCTGCATAAGGTGAGGGTAAAAGGAGCGCATATGAACTGGATCACAGCTGACCTCATCCAAATGTACCAGTTTAGGGATTCTTTGTGGTCAAAATTTAAGCGTACTGGCTCTATGAATGATCACAGTGCATATAGACAATGGCGAAATATATGCACAAAACAGACAAAACTGGCCAAGGCCCAATATTTCTATGAAAATCTGAACAGTAACATCTCAAACCCTAGAAACTTTTGGAAAGTCATAAATAAACTACAAACTCCCCAATCCACTCCCAACCCTCCACTGTCAAAGTGGGTAACCAAACCCTGCAACTTCCCTTAGATGTAGCAAATGCCTTTAACAATTATTTTGTCGGATGCTCTACTGCCCTGATTGCCAAGCTAATAAATGACACGCATCCTGAAACTACAAATGTGGATCAGGCCCCACTAAATTTGCAAAGGCCCAATATAGATAAGTTTAATTTTAGACCTGTACCTGTTAGTGTCATTAAAAAACATCTTAATAATCTAAAAATGAAAAACCAGTCCGGACCTGATCAAATCCCAGCAATGCTGTTGAAGCTCAGTGCGCCGGCAATTGCTAAACCCGTCTCAACTCTAATTAACGAATCATTGGTGTCTGGATACATACCCAAACTTTGGAAGACTGCGAGAGTAGTGCCTATCCATAAAAGTGGTGACACTACTTTGGTTTGTAACTATCGCCCAATATCATTGCTCCCTGTATTGTCAAAAATCTTAGAAAAATGTGTCCATACGCAACTTTGTGAGTACTACCAACAATTAAACTATCTGACCCCTGATCAATCGGGCTTTTGCCAGAATCACTCCACTACAACTGCCCTCCTAAAAGTTTGCAATGACATCCAAACTGGCATGGAACAAGGAGCCCTAACTGGAGCTATTTTCCTTGATTTTGCTAAGGCCTTTGACACAGTAGACCACGACATTCTACTGCACAAACTCGAAAACTCAGGTATTGGTGATCATTCTTTAAACTGGTTTCGATCGTATGTATCGGATCGCTCGCAATATGTGTCCATTTCTGACA